TATCCGTCAAAATCTCATTTCTATCTTCCAATTTCGTGCACATAAAGATGTAAGCACTAGTCTTAAACTTTCACTTTCTATTTTGTGTCAAAAACTATATATTGAAGCACTGGGAATAATGTTATTGTCTTTTTCTCCCATGATGGAATACTGATTTTGTCTTTTGCGTGGTTTGTACCTTATCAATTATCGTCACCTCCCTCAATCTTTAACATATATAGGTGCATGTATATATATATTTCACATCCAAATTAAGATGCTACATCTCATTGACATGATCATCAAGGCCATGGATCTATCTCGCTCGATCACATCTATTAAGATACAATACCTTATTGACATGATCCCCACGGTACGGCCCTCCATCTCATTTTGTTCTTACTCATATTCTATTTGGTTCTAGTTTAGCATTAAATGGAGATGCGACAACTTCCTTCACATATAGTGAAATGAGTTCACAAATTATTCCATTCTATGCATGGATACATATATTGTCGAGTAATTTAATTAGACATGATTAAAATATACTCCCTATTTATTAATTACGGAGGTCTTGAATTTTTATAGACTTGTACATTCATGTGTTTGATATTATTTTTATAGTCTTGTGACATTTTTAATTTAAAGGACATTCTTAGCTTATTACATTCAGAGCCCGTTTGGAGACCTCTTTTTTCGGCTTATCAGGCTTATCAGCCAGCTTTTTCACCAAACACGTAATTTTTACTTTCGCGTGCTGAATTGTGTAATAAGCAGAAAAAGTAAGGTTGGAGTTACTTTTCTGGCTGTATTGGCTGAAGTTACTGTAGATGACCATTTTAGCTATTTTTACATGTAATTTTTTCTTTATTTTATTAATAAAATATATTTTTAAAATATTTTTTTTCTAAAATCAGCAGAATCAGCCAAAACAGCCACTTCAGCCAGAACTTCATAAATTTCAGCAGAAACAGCCAAAACAGCCGATTTTCGTGCTACCAAACGGACTCTAAAACAGCCAAACGGACTCTAAAACAGCCAAAACAACGACGATAGATTATTTATAATTAAAAAAACACAACGATAGTGTTTTTCTTTCTTAATGAAAGTTCCAAGCCGATCAAAGTGGGAATATAATTTAATTTAGCAATTTGAAAGATCCATGCTAATAAATTTTATTAGTTGTGGTCGTTTTACTCATATGTTTAGGATGTCTGGACTTGTTTCAATTTCAATGGGGATTTGACAAGACCAATCTAGATTTAAATATATCAAATCACACCAGATTAGTGTAGACTACACCTGAAAATCTCAGTCAAAATGAAAAAGTATTCCTTCAATCAACTACTTTGCTTAATTTCACTACCGTATGCAATATAAAGGAAAACAGTGTGATTTAAGTAGCTTTACACAAAAACAGCGGTCAGCGTTTCGATTTCAGTCCGATTTAGTTTGAAACAGATTGAAATTAAAAAAGATTAACATATATTTGTTTTCGGTTTGATTCGATTTGGTTTGATTTTATTACTTCAATAAGATTTATTGAGATTATATTGAATTTTATATTTCAATTTAGTTTTATTCGATTTTCACTATCGCGGTTATATATGTTTAATATGATTAAAGAACTACTAAATTCAAAATGAATTGGATATCTTTCGTCGACCCATATTGATCGACATCATCACATCAATATGTAAAAAAATGACACGGTATATATATACATTTTTTAAACAATTAGTGGGAGAGTAATAATTAGCTCCCACCATGTTTACTTCACATTTCACATATCCAATTTTGTTTTCTAGTTGATATTAAATCAAGATTGCATTCAACTTCCCACCTCTTCGGTCCCATCAAAATAGATAATCAAACATAATACAAAGTATAAACAAGCTTTATCCCGCCGAAAAATGCTGAAAAGGACAGACATGTGTACACATTTTGTGTAAATGTGTATACAAAATGTGTAAGCAAAACTCTTATCCCGCCCATATTTTCCTCTGAAGTTTGAAGCAAACGTACCATCAATACCTAATCACTCACTCATTATCATTATGATACGTTGAATTTGAACCTTCAACCTAACTATAATATTATAAGGTAGAACAAAATAAAATAAAATCTTCAAACAATTAACAATCCTGTATATTCTTTCCTAAAATCCTACGTACACTAGGGTCACCGACGGACTGGTCTGTATTAAGGATATTTTTACTTGGACTGTAATTTGCCCCAGACCAGACCAGACCAGTCCAGACCAGACCAGACCAGTTCAGACCAGACCAGACCAGACTTGGATAGTTATAAAAATACAAAGAAACCAGACCTTACCAGACCAGACCAGTTCAGACCAGACCAGACCAGATAAGACCAGACCAGACCAGCAAATTACAATCCAAGTAAAAACATCCTAAGACGGAGACTAGTGTTCTCCATATACAGGTAAAGCTCTATGAGTGGACATATATGGTCCAGGTTCGGCCCAGTCCCTAAGGTCCTGGCCAGAACTTTAATTTCCGGATCCGAACTCGGCTAGTTCTGATTAGGGTTGTAAACGAACCAAATTGAGTCGTAGTGAGATTTTGTATTTGTAATTGTTTAATTTTTTCGAATACAAATTCTAATTGAAATATGAAACGAATATTAATTTCGATTTGTATTTGTTTAACAATACGAATAATTAACGAATCTTATACGAATATCGAATATATATTTGAGCATAGGTTAAATATTAGTCAAATATCACTTTAAAATTTATGTTGTAAATGCATGCTATGACTTAATATGTGTTTTTAGAATTTAAATTTAATGGATCAATGCATTTTTAGATTGTGCATGATATACTAAAGTGAATCAATTTTATAATTAATAAATATAAATCTATTTCAAACTTTTTGAAATAAACATTAACACACACACATATTAGAAACTATACTTATAATGTGTGAAATAAGTTGATAATTGTATACATCAAAGTCAAGCGACTCTAATTTTATTCTTCTGCATAATTATTTGAATTGTATTTGAAAGACATTTTGAGTCAAAAATCTAATTTGTATTTGTATTTATACTCTGATTTATTACAAATGGACTTAGAATCTGTATGCATAAATGTATATATGGACCTTTGAGGGTATTACTATCATTTAAAAGTTATTATATTGTTATTATTATTATTATTATTATTATTATTATTATTAGGGAAAGTTCCCGAAATGGGACTAAAAAAGTTCGAAAATTCCAAAATAGGACTGTCATGTTTTTATTCCCAAAATAGGACTAATTAGTGCCAAATTTGGAAAATACTGCCATATTTGAAGTCAAGTACTGCCAAAACATGACAGTAATTAGTCCTATTTTGGGAATAAAAACATAGAAGTCCTATTTTGGAATTTTCAAACTTTTTTAGTCCCATTTTAGGTAATCTCTTATTATTATTATTATTATTATTACTATCATTACTATTAATATTATCATTATTATTAATCAAATATATTTGATTAATATTCGAATCGAATACAGTGATATTCTTATTTGTATTTGATAACAACTTGAATCAAATTTAATATGCATATTTGTATTTGTATTTGAATTTTCCGAATTCAAATTGTCTTATACGAATTCGAATCGCGAATCGAACACAAATTATTTGATTCGCTTACAACCCTAGTTCTGATCCGATTCAATCAGGGTCGGTCCTGTATATTTGAAGATTTAGGGGCGTAGAATTAAAATGAGCTTAATCTTAAAAAATTGTAAAATTCTTTTCTGTCTAAAGTATAATAACAATTATTATTATTATTATTATTATTACTAAAATTGAATAACACTGTTTTTCAGATTCAATAATCTAATTTATTCGAAATTAGATTGGAATAATTGAATAACACTTTCTATATATACACTTTGTTAGCATGTTTTTTATAAAATGTAGATTATGTCTAAAACAAATTAGCTTAAAATTTAATCGGAAAGTGAGTTAAATAAATTATTAAAAAACACTACGCCAAAATACGCATAAAACGCAATGTTTTTGAAAAAAAAAATTAACGGACTTCTAGATTGAATATTAAACTGAAATTCTATGAAAATAAACTAGGAAAAATTGAAAATAATAATCCCAACTATTGGCGGTCCGCTAATAATAATCCCAACTATTGATTATTTTTGTATAATCCCAACTATATGGACCATCCGCCAATAATGGTCCATGACCAGATATTACCTCCAATTTTAAATAGAAATTAAGCATAAAAATTAAAAGTTGAGATTATTTATAGAGATTACTTGTTATATCTCTTCTCATTCACTTTAGAAACTACAGAAATTTATTTATAGTCGGTCACATCAGACCATTATTGGCGGAAGGTCCCTAAAATTGGAATTATTCTGAAATAATCGATAGTTGGGATTATTATGAGCGGACCGCCAATAGTTGTGATTATTACTATCAATTTTTCCAATAAACTAAACTTACTCGTATTTTTTTCTATTACATTTATCTCAATCACATACTCCCTCGGTCACAAATTATTTTGCAAAATTAATATTTTTTTCTCAACCAATAATAAAAGTCAATCCTCTCTATCAATAATTAACTCAATTTTTAATAATTAAAATTTACATATTTAGAAATCACATTAAAATTTCTTCAAACTTGTAAACTCCAAATTAGAATATAATTGAAAATTGACATCCTAATTAAGCAAATAAAATAAAAACTGTTTGACTAAGAAAAATCAAATTTGCAAATTATTTTGAGGTGGAGGTATTCATTTTTTTAAATTCTGAGGAAAAATAATTTGTAAAAACGTCCATTCAGCCATTTAGCCCGAATGAGTGTATCCTTTTTCATTTTATTTTATGTAAAGTGGTCAAAAGCAGAGGATTTGAAAAATGGAGTAAAATGTCAATTCCACACGAGGTGCGTATGAACGGAACAGTCTTCTTTGTCTCTCTGTGACGCTTTCTGTGTTGTTCGTTTGTCTCTTTCCCTCCTCTCCACTTTTTTCCACACAATATATTCTTGCTTCTCCTGTTTCCATTCGGCGATTCTCTTTTCTTCCTTTTTCCTTTCCTCTGTAATCCCATGGCTTCTTTTCTATGCTTGAGGTTGAAACTGAGGAGAAAGCCGGTCCGGGTCGGCGAATCCGGGTTCAAGAAGGACCCCGGTCCGGCTAGAATGACAAAGCAGCAGATTTCGAAGCTTACGATGAGCTTTTCGAGGTCTCGGGTGATTGCTTTCGGAGGTTTCAGCACAGTGTACCTCGGGAAGTTCCCAGATTCCGGCGTGGCAGCCGTCAAGGTCATCGACTCCGGCAGCAGCCACCGCCTGAGCGCCGTTTTCCGGCAGGAACTTCAAATCTTGCAGAGGGTACAACACGAGAGTATAGTGAGCGTTATTGGGTACTGCGATGAGGGTGAAGAAGGGGTTCTGGTTTTCCAGTACGCTGCGAATGGAACGCTCCATGAGAATCTCCATGGGAGATGGGACTCTCTTCTTTCATGGAAGCAGAGGATGGGAATTGCTTATCAGTTGGCTCAAGCTCTGGAGTATCTCCATGAGAGGTGTGATCCCCAGATTGTTCATGGCGACATTAAAGCCTCGAATGTGTTGTTGGATTCTCAGTTTAATTGCAAGTTGTGCGATTTCGGGTCTGCGAAAATGGGATTTTCTTCCTCTGTTCAGCCGCCGTTATCTGGGCCGGAGATGATCGATGGCGGAGCTATAAATGCGGCGACTCGTCCCAAATGTGGTAAATGAAATATCTCCATCTAAATTTATCTCAATAGAAATGTGAAATTATTTCACACCAATTAAAATCGAGGTATAAAGTCAAGGTGTCAGCTTATTAATGAGTTGCAAAAAAAAGGGTCAAATAAGTCCTTATATAGAAGTTTCTGTCCGGACGTGCCATTTGAGGTGGCTCCCGGTGGAATTTTTTTATGAAAGTTTTTGAGCGTCTTATTCATTAAGTCTAGTTTACTCATACCAAATTTCAGATAAAAATTCAATGGGGAAGACATTCAAATGAATTCTTGAAGATAACTGTGCCGTTAAAAGCGTTGTTATCTTCAAGAATTCATTTGAATGTCTTCCCGATTTAATTTTTAGCTGAAATTTGGTATGAGTAAACTAGACTTAATGAATAAGATGTTCAAAAAAATTTATCACAAAATTCCACCGGGAGCCATCTCAAATGGCACGTCCGGACAGAATCTTCTATATAAGGACTTATTTGACGCCTTTTTTGCAACTTCGGGGACCAAACTGACCCTTTACTCCTTGTAAAAATGAACAACACAATTATTAGGCTCCAATGAACTCCTTGATTTGATCAAGACTGAAAAAAGAAGGCCGACGTGAAAAATATTTTATAAGGTCACAATTGACTTAAATACAAGACAAAAATAAGAACACGTAAGCTAAAATCGGGATTAGGAGGTGGTCAACGGGTAGTTTTGACTCATTCGATTGCTTTTTATAAGTAGACGTATTTATATACTACCTCCGGTTTTTTTTAATCTTCACAGTTTGACTTCACACAAAATAAGGAAAGAAATTTGACTTTACTGTAGAGTACACTGTTGAAGCATTGTCTGACACTGTTTGGCACTGTAGAGACACTGTTTGGCACTGTTGAGACACTGTTTGGCACTGTTTTGATGTAGATTTCTTTGCCAAAAAAGGAAATAAGGAAGTGTGAAGTTTATTTTAGACCATCCCAAAAAGGAAAGTGTGAAGTTTATTAAAAACCGGAGGGAGTAACATTTTATTGAGCACGTGACCTTATGTGACGATTCCATAATAGTAGAATGCATTATTTGACTCTTTTCTCTATACATATTAAGCATGTATCATAAGTATCACCTTATAAAAACCATTAAGAGTTTTTTCTTAGAAGACTTCAGATTTATATGTCTAAATTTATGGGCTTGTTACTAACTTTTGTGTCTTATGGAAATCTCTTTGGTGGTTACTTAATAGAATTTAAATTAAGATTCAATATTTCGTGTAAAAGGTCAATCTAATAGAAGGAAATAAATAAGATTTGCGGAAATATTTTTGGTCCATATGATCAAAAAATGTTTGTATATATTTAATTAACACATCCCGGTTTGGATTTTCAGGAAGACTCGCTACACGCATGATGATGATGGGTTCTCCGGGATACACAGACCCTCACTACTTGAGAACCGGGATCGCCACCAAAAAGAGCGACATATACAGCTTTGGGGTCATCCTTCTCGAGCTAATTACGGGTTTGGAAGCCGTTTCTTCCTCTGATTGCAGTGAAAAACTGGTATGTAAAGCAAAGGAAATGCTAAAGGATGAGTCCAAGGTTACAGCAATGCTGGATCCGAGGCTGGATGTAAGGAATAATAGTTTGGGAGTAGAAGCTGAGGCAGTGGCTTCCATTGCAGCTATGTGCCTTGTGGATTGTCCAACCCTAAGGCCATCTGCATCTGATATATTGGAAACCATGAGAATCAGAGTTCCCTCCGTTGGCTTTTCGTTCTCGAAGGACAAAGGGGCAGCTTGATCCAGCAAGTTATGGCAGCCGAAGTAAATTAGTACGGAGTACAATCTAAGAGTCCTTCTTCGTGTATGCGCGAGGCGCGTAATGCTTATTTTACACGCCACACACGCATTTCTGTAAAGTTTATGTGGTTTTTTAAAACGAATAGGTTGTGTTCACAAACAATTAGGGATGGACGTTTATACAAAGTGTAAAAGGTGTGTACGAAAGAAAAAGTCTATTTGTAATTATTTAGCTGTACATAGATACACTAGCTCCAATTCTTCTCTTCATACTTCATGTTTTCTACTTGAACATGAATTAGTTTATTCATCTCTTATGGGATGTTTGGTTGATTTTGCTTGTCACTTAGAAATTCCATCATTATTAGTTTAACTCATTCTTTTTCTCTCGAGTATCAATCCACAATCAATACAAAAGCTCACCGACGTATTATACTTTGAGAAACTTCCAAGCATGGATAATATATTAATTGTTTGAAAGGAAGGCACTTACTCAATTTTAAAATATTAACAAGGATCGCTATAGATGTTTTATTGTCAATGGGTAAATAAATGTGAGGCAGAAGCTAGAGATTTGGAAAGTATCGCCTTACCTAAAAAGGGAAGTCCCAATAGTGATGTTACTAATCGATCCTTCAACGAATAGTGATGTTTTCAGTCCCAGACCAGATCAGACCAGACAGGGGCGGATCCAGGAATGAGGGGTGGGGTGGGCTAAGCAATAACAATTTTCGTTATTGCATACAAAAGGTTTAGCTTAGGACTGATAGTTATTGAACTGAGTTTTTTTCGAACTACTCGAGTTCGATCGTGATTTCGAATTTAATGACCAAATCTTAACGAGCTTCAATTTCGAACACGAGCTAAATTTTAGTTTATATAGTTTGTTTTTACAAAAAAAAAGCGGCCGTTATTTTTTTGAGTTTGAATAGTTATTCATGCTGAATTCGAGCATAGTCATGCATGTTCAGTTCGATCTGGACTCGAGCATATTGATAACTTATAAAGTATAGAAATAACCTATATACTACCTCCGCTCACTTTTATTAAGACTAATTTGATTTTTCAAGTCAAAGAAGTTAATCTTTGAATGACTATATATTTATACAATAAAATTGATCATATGAAAATACAATGGAAATGTTCTTTGTTAAAAAGTTTATCATAAAAGTATAAATTTAGTAAGTTTCACATTAATACATGAGTTAAAATGATGGATCAAAGTTTACCATCTTTGACTAAAGAGTCAAAGATGACTAAATAAAACGAGACGGAGGTAGTATATCTAACATTTAAACGTTTTTAGTGTGATTTATAATTTTATTATTGATTATTAAAGATTTTAGTATTTATTGATATGATATGAATTAAAATACTTCTATAAAAGTATAAAACTAATAAGTAAAATAGTCGATGTACATAAAACTAATAAGTATTCCCAATTTTAAAATTGAATTGAGATTTTGAATCCATTCTTACATGCCTAAACAATAAGTACATCGTTCTCTATTCTTTAATTGCATAATAAATAACTCATTTTCTAATCTTTAATTCTATCTTTAATCATTATAAATTTATAATAAAATAAAGGGAAAGTTCCTGAAATGGGACCAAAAACGTTTGTAAATTCCAAAATAGGACTGTCATGTTTTTATTCCCAAAATAGGAGTAATTACTGTCAAGTTTGGAAAATACTGCCATGTTTAAAGTCTGGTACTGCCAAAACATGACAGTAATTAGTCCCATTTTGGGAATTAAAAACATGGCAGTTCCATTTCGGAATTTACAAACATTTTTAATCCTATTTAGGGTAAATTCTCTAAAATAAAAACTATTTTACTATCTACTGAAAATATTCAATTAATAATCAAGTAGAATTACAAAGTTGGTAGGCTTTAGCTGGGCTAGACATTAATTTTGAGGTGGACTGAAAATTAAACTTATACCTATAATAATAAAAATAAATTGGGCTGGGCTGGGCTGGAGCCCACCCTTGCCCCAACATAGATCCGCCCATGAGACCAGACTAGACTTAAACAGACCAGACCAGACCAGACCAGACCAGACTTAAACAGACCAGACCAGACCAGACTAGATTTGGATAGTTATAAAATACACAGAGACCAGACGTTTACCATATCAGACCAGACCAGTTCAGACCAGACCAGACCAGACCAGACTTAAACAGATCAGACCAGATCGGACCAGACCAGACCAGACCAGACCAATAAATTTCAGTCCAAAAGAAAACATCCTAAAAAGCCACGGGTAAAGAAACTCATACGTAGTAATAGTGTAAGGGTGGCAAGGTTCGATTTGGCTGAATCGAATAGCATCAAATCGAACATAATCAAACCATATGAAACTGATTCGAGTTTGACAGTATTCTTTCAAATGGCAGTAAATCAAATTTAATTCAAACCGTGATAATCGAAAAAATCAAACAATTTTTTTTTAATAAGAATGTTTTTATTTGGATTCTAATTTAGCTTTGTCCCATTAGCTTTTATCTTCTTGATAGTAATTCAAACTATTTGATGGTGACATCGATGCTCAGAGATTCTTGTTATAGGTATGATCCAATTAGATTGTTATTCTCTTCCGATTGTGTTGATTTTGTTATACGGCGGTTCTTTCCCGGACATTGGTGCTTCAGGTGGTTTGTCTCTCTCAATGTGGGGAGTTCTATTGGTGTCTCGGCTAGCTTCGTCTTGTCATGAGTTTTTGTTTGCTTTCTTCCAGAGTGCGTAGACATTGGTAGAGCCCGTCCTCCTCTAGAACCGCCTCCGTGCCATGTAGATTTTTTGTGGAAAGACTTTATTAAAATTTTATTTTTCCATTACTACTAATTGTTTTTATTTTAGTTTCAGTATATTTGGTTTGGAAATTCGGACTTCAGGCACATGCTTCATAGGCATTATTTCCGTCCCGTTTGTTTTAGGCTTTAAACTAAATTGCCCGTTTTGTATCTAGCGAATAAGGTTGTTTTGTATGAGGTAACTGATTCTATGTCTATTCTTAGAGCTCACAATTGGATCTGCCATAAGTGTATAGATGTTATCTTGTATCTTTTCTCGATTGTATTATAAAAGCCGATCCTTTATATTCAAAAAAAAAGTTGGAATGTAATTTTCTAATATGATCTGATATGTTCTGATTTGGTAGGTTTCTTATATATGTGTATTTTATAATTGTCAAAGTCTTGTTCGATCTGATCTATTTAAATCTAGTATGGTTTATTTAAAACGGGTTTCTTCTCTTCTGTTTTGTTGTGGTATGGTTTGGTATGGGATTGAAACTTATTCAAGTAACTAGTTTCTTGCTCGCGCTATGCGCGAGAAAAGAATGCCCAATAATATTTTCATAGATATAATGAATGAAATGGTTGTTGGTGTAATAGAGTTATATGTTCAATTTTGCATAATTGATTTTCTCATTACCTTTTTATGATTTGTTTATTGTATGCACACGCTATGTGTTATGGTTTTATCATCACACGAGTTAAAAAATTTAAGGTAAAGGCCTACTTCTGAAGTAATCATTTATGCAAATAGAGAGAAGATATAAATTTACATAAAATTGGATTTTTTAATCTTAATAATCTATTTTGATAATGTTATTATTTTTCAAATATTAATAACAATAATTAATTTTTTTTTATCTTTGACCATGAAGATAGATGGTTATTTTTATTTGCACCCGGTATTTGACCAAAACCCAGAGGTTTTGGGGTGAGGGCCAGGAAACACCTCACATATTTATTGAATTTAGAAAAAATGCAAAGAGTAGGAGGATACTATTATTTATTATTATTGTTGTTAAATACTCTGTAATAAATAATAGTAAAAACAACCATATAACGTTTTCTACTAATTGTTAAAGCAAACAACTAAATTACTAAACATTTTCTGAGAACCCGTCAACTTGTTCCGCTAATCAAACCCGTTGACTAAATTCGCTATTGGGACAACCCGCTAATATAATCCTTTATACACTAACCGCTAAATATCAAACACGCCCAAAAAATTATCTTCTACATACTCGTATAATATAAAGTAATGTAGAGAAAAAATTTAAAATGTAAAAACAAATGAAAATATAAATTAATGCTAATAGCATATACTACGTACTGTGTACATAGAATGTTAAGGAAACTTAAGAGTTAGGATTTAACGGAGGTAGCTAGGTCATAAATATGGGTAATGGTGAATGGTACAATGATTAAAATATATTGTACAAGTGCATATTGCTCAAATGTTACACCAACATTTTTATCATTCCTAAAATACCCTAACCGTCATTAGTGCTTATAACTTATAAGTTATTACATTATTATATTATTATATTATTATAGATAGATTAGAAAATATCCTAAATTCTTCATATACTTAGTATCTCTACCAAATTATAAGCATGAATCAAGGTAAGGATATTTTGGGTATTAAAATTTGTTGGTGGTACATCATAGCTTAATAAACGTGTACTATGTGCTTGAATGGATGTACTCGATTTTATCCTTTGCTCAAGTCTGATCTCTCCGTCTATCTACGGTCGTTAGGAAAACATCTGGATAAATTGAATCTCGATTATTCCTTTCAATTCCATAACGTGCCCATTTCACCACATCGATTAGGTTAGGCGCCGGCTCTACTCATCTCCTTCTTCCTATTGTTTTCATCGCGTGGCAGGGGTTCCGCCCTGGAAGATTATCGCCAGCTCTAATCATCTCCTTCCTATTGTTTTCATCGCGTGGCAGGGGTTCCGGGTTCTCTTCCGCTGCACAACACCTATGCAGGCACCCTGATTCGGTCCGGGCGGATGTGATTGCAAAAATCATCGATCGTCTAGGATTAGCAAAAACTATGTTTGAAGCATCAAGTCCTCAAATCTCAGAATGGGTTGTCAAACAATATGGTCCCAAGGTACGAGTATTAATTAAACTACCCAATTTGAATCCTGTGAGAATTTCTTGAGTCAGTTTGGTAATGCCTATAATGGTTGAAGATGAAGTCGTAGCGGCTAAAATTTTGGTTTAAATGATTGATTTATCTAAACTTAGAATCGTTAATACGTAGTAGTATTCTTGAAATAAACTTTAAGGAAATACTCCGTAATATAATGAGAGTTGGAATTACATCTTCACTTATTTATGGTACAAAGTCACCTCATCACCTGACTCACTCACTCACCTCTACTCCACTTTTTTCATTATAAGCCGATTCAGCTAATGTGGTGAAATCAATTAGAGTTTTGGTAGGAAATCCAAGTTAAGAGAATAAAAAGCTCTAACTAAAGAGACTTGATGTTAATCTGAACTCTTTTACGGATTGTGGTTTTTAGGTGAACCTTTTTGTGGATCATTCTCAAGTGATGAACCTGGAATGCCTTAGGGGGTGAAACCTTGGTAAAAATCACTCCTCCATTCTGGATTCTTCATATTTCCTATTCTGATCTAGCGTTGGCATGGAGGATGCGTCTTAATGCTATCTATCTTTGATCTCTTAAATATGACAATAATGATGTGATGCTCTGTATGTCCTAGCTTGATCCTCAGTATCATGTTAGAGATGCAAAAAGTGAAAGGAAACTGATAGCTTATCAGTTGACTTCATGCGAACATAATATTCTCATAAATACATTCATGTGAAAAAGTGCAGATATATTGCTTGGTATATGTTTAGATAATACTCTGGTTTGTATAAAAAGTGTTTTAGGTTTTTTCTTTAGGTCTCATAGAGCACGTGATGTTGTAGTTTATTCTCATAGAAAAATGCTAACAAATATTAGTATCTCATTTAATTATTTATTGTGTGTGCTTAAATAATAACTTGGGTGGAGAATATATGTGTGCTCTAAGTATTACCATTCTGATGAGAGTGTTACTCATGTTACTAAGTATTGATTTAAGATACTAAAGCTTTACCATTGATTACAAGAATTGAATGAGCAGATGTGTAGTCTGGAAGTCAAGGTCTTTTTTGGCAAGTGGCGGCCGGGCTTCCAATGGAGTTGATGTCTTGAGGAGGAAACATTTGCAGGTACAAGCGGGCTGCCAGTTATGTAAAACAGCAAAAGATAACCCTCTTCACTTGTTTAGAGACTGACCAAAAGTACAAATGTTGTGGACTAAGCATGGGTTACCATCTGCAGGTGAAGGAGGGACTTTTGGAGGTTGGCTTGAGGCTGTGTTGGTGCTTGTTCTGAGGAAGATGTCTGCAGATTTGTTATGCTTCCTTGGAGCATTTGGAAACACAGAGATGATGTGGTTTGGAATGCCGCTGGATTTTCAACAGAAGGAATTTGGAGGACTGCTCTAGCAGCTCTTGATGGCTGGAGAGCTGCCTAATAATAAGGATTTATGCCATTTCCTTATACCTTGTACAGAAAGTCCAATTACTCCAATAGACACTACTATCCTAGGGAACCCAGGAACTCAATGATGAATTGAAGGTCAAATCCTATGAGCTTGAAAAGTATTTAGTGAACATAAACTTTCCCTTAAAAAGCAAACCTGTAAGAAAACCGGTAAAATCTGAGCTCATCATAGTCATTAGTAACTATATTGCGCATAACTTAAACCCTAAACCTGGCTAGATAAGATTCACCGCAAGATCCCACAAGAGGCAGATTCAAGGATGCCAATTTGTCCTGCTTTTATTTTCAAGTAATCAATGTTAAAAATTATAAACATAGTTTGGTGTCTATGTAGTTAAAGTTTTAAGGTAGAAATTGCATGCTAAAATAATAAATTTTAATCAAAATGATGTCTTATATTAGGGGGTGAAATTTGAACATCAGACAAACTCCGCAAAATCAATTCTCACACGTATATGGGCTACTAAGTACTAACTACCAAGTACCAAATAGAGCTTGGATGACTCTGTTTCAAGTAAATGATGTGGTTTTGAATCCCTTGGGTTATACGCTAAAAATGCATTTTCCTTCAACATCATTTCCCCGAGATGTATAATGATGTCAAGTTTTGTCAACTTGACATCATTGTAACAATTTGAAAGATGATGCCACAAAGTTATCATGAAACAGACACAATAATACTCCCTCCGTCCCCCAATTAAGTTCCTGGTTTGACTTCACACATATTAAGAAAATAAATTTGACTTAACTGTGGAGTGCATTGTTTTGCACTGTTTTGCACTGTTTGATACTGTTTAGACACTATTTGGCACTGTTTTGCACTATTTGGTACTGTTTTGATGTAGATAATTTGCTAAATAGGGAAAGTATTGAAGTGTGAACTTAATTTAGGGAATGCCCAAAAAGGAAAGTGGGAACTTAATTGGGTGACGGAGGGAGTAGATTACAATCACAGCTAGAAAAAAATAAAATAAAAATGTCTTCATGTTCAGAAGTTCAACTGTTAAATCCTCATATGTTCATCAAATCAGGACAACAACATGGACACATGGCTGTAAATTTTTACCACTTGAGTTTAAACAATTATGAAGACCATGTTTGTTCCCAACATCTCTAAGATAACTCACATTTCAAACATCATGAGCATATTTCTATCAATTTAATTAATTACGAGATACGAGTCAAAAGATCTCATATGTGTGATTTTATGCAAACAGTATCATCAAAATAATGACATGATAGGGTATCTTAATATTAATATTTCACAAATCACATTAGGCATTTTTTTATCGCGCAACGCGCGTAACAAAACTAGTTTTATAAACAAAAGGGAAGGTGGTGTAGTCCAAGGAGTGACGGACTCATTACGGGTCCCATGGGATCCTAGGACCCCATGAACTCATTACGGTAGTACATTATATGTATTTTTTACAAAATTAATTATTAAATTGTATATACAACAAATGGGACTTAGTAACCAAAAGACTTTAGTAGAGTAACAACCGATTTTTAAAAAAAAAAAACTTGTAATTTTAAAATGCCAAACGTCTTCGTTTTGGGCCATTTTTTTAAACCCCTGTCAATCCCTAACCGCAAACCACAAAAACTATCACTATCAGCATATCTCCCTTCAGAGATCCGACCCTGCACAGGTGTTATTGTTTACTTTTGCATAATTCTACTTTTTTTTATTAATTACTCCCTCCGTCTCTGATTATTCTTCCAAATTAAAGTGACACGGTGATTAAGAAAGTGAGAATTGTGTGATGGAGAATTGTGCAGAGGAGCGAGAAATGCAGTGAACCACAAATTCTTTGCCAAAAAGGGAAAGTGAAGTTCTTTTTGGGACGGACGAAAAGGGAAAGTTGGAAGTAAATTCAGGGACAGAGGGAGTATTAAAATTTCTTTGAATGTTAAGATTAAATTAATAAATTTATTTATGAATGTTAACAATTTAGGATGAAAAGATATTTCAGTAGCGTATCCAGATTTAAAGAAATTCGGAGTATCGGGAGTAGTTCAGATGTTAATTCAAATGATTTGCCTTTACTATCTTAAATGTATTTAATGATGTACGTTAACTATGAAACGTTATACATCATAATATATACTTTCTCCGTTCTCTAATAGATGTCTCACTTTCTATTTTGGGGTGTTCTTTAATATTTGTCCCCCTACCCATTTTTAGAAAGTTTTTTCAATAAATATACCTATATACCTATATACCCTCATTCTCTTTCCTACTTTTTCATCCAAACACAACTCACTACACCTTTTACACTACCCCTATTATTTTCCCCTTAAAACTTGTGTCAAACTCTATACTCTCATCTATTAGAGAACGGAGGGAGTATTTTTTTTAAATTTATATTAATTGCTTCCAAAAAAAATTATACAGAGTATTAATTAGAGTTACATTAGTTTAGGGACCCCATAGTTCTATTCTTCTAGGTCCACCATTGAGTCCAAGTGATGACCATCCACTTCCAAGTCTCTCCTTTGTGAGAGGTCTCGGGGTTCAATTCCCACCAAGGAGAGGTGATCGAGGGAGGTATTGCTCCCCGTGATTCCCTCTACCTTCATGGAGTAGCTCAGCAGCTGAGAAGGGATCGAGAGGATGGTAATGAAGGCAACAGGTTCGTGTGGTAGGAGCAGCAGCATGGAAGGGGCGGGTGATGTAAGTTTTGCTAGATTAGTCCTTTAGAGCCAGTACCGAATTTACCTGTTTATGGACTTTGGAGGAATGGAGGGTAATTCATATACTCTAAGATTATGAGATTGTAAGCTCCGACACCTGAATTATAAAAAACAAATTCAAACTGAACAAACCAACGAAACTAAAACATAGAAACATAGTATGGTTTTTCTTTGGTAGACTCTCTTTCAATCCGTTTTAAACCAAAGGAAGTGAAATCACATAAAAACCAATCCACGTGCCCACTCCATAAAAACTCTATTCGTCTACTTACCAACACGATTTTTTAGTGCATGCTATTCTCTCCGTCCCATTATAATTGTTTCGGTTTTTCTTTTCCATTCGTCCCACTAAATTTGTCTCATATCATATTTGATAATATTTGTGTGGCTCTAACTCACTCTTACTTTATTCTCACTTTATCAATTCATTATCAACCACGAAGCTCTATTTTTCTTCAAATCATCATCATTCTCCTTTGTCCCAATCCTAAGGGGACGGGCGTGTTCGTATTAGTTTTGGATGACTACCATTAAGTAAATCCTGTAAAGCAAGGGCGGATACACCAAATAAGCCATTCCCCCAACAAAATTGGACACACTTTTTCTTGTAATTTCTGTTAAATATTGCCATCTTAAAAATCCAGTATGCCCTCATTGATTTTTCATGCCTCACTTATTTCTAAATTTATTATATAATTCATACTTCGTATATATTTACTTTGCCGACTTTCACTTGATAAGAACACATGTCTATGGTTTGATTTGTAGCTAGAGACTATCATTATTTAAGTTTGAAATTTAAGACAAGTTAAAGTGTTTTGATACCCCTTTTCAATTTCGCGCACATATATCTAATTTATTTCATCTTCTTTAAGATTCGATTCTCTAGTCGATATTATTTGTTTCTCTTCTAAGCAAATTTAGTCTATAACCTTTTCCACCACTTTCTAAAAAAACTAACAAAGAAAAATGTAATGGTGAATTAGTGAAAGAGGCAGTAATGTTTTAATATTTTATACAGTATAAAACTTTTCACTTTTATTCACTCTTTGTGTTTGAGAATTCGTATAATATGGTTTTATCATTTTGTATTAATTTTTTAAAATAGTCATATAACAGTTAATCAGATGGACAACAATAGCCCATATGACTCCATAAACCGTCATGTGAGTCTCTTTAAAAATATTGAAAGCAACCAAGGGAAAGCATATAAAGGCCCTTGAAATTTTAAATCCAAGCTAGAAACGTACCAGGCTATAAAGTGAAAATAATAAGCAAATAATTACGGAGTACAAACTAGAGGGGGTTTATGACCCAGAACTACATGCACAATAATGAGAGAGATAGAGAGTAGAGTCACACGAAGTGGAAAATAACAGAAGATGATCGGCGGATGGGAATTTTATACTTGCCAATCGACATTGCCGGATCAGTACTCTGCAAAAGTCGTCGACAGTAGATAGTAATCGCCATGGGCGGAATGATTGTTTTCTGATTGCGGCAACAAAACATTGTTGAGGCAAATGCCTGGACCAACTAGTCCCAAAGCCAGCCCTCGAAACTGGCTAAGGGTAGTAATGTAGCTAGGTACGTAGATGTTGAGGCAGTTATGTTGATCAAAAGTATAGTGATGGTGATGAAAAGAGAGTCTCTCTCCCTTCTTCCCATTTCAAATTTCCACCCCACTCTCTTCTTCTAGCTCCCTCCATGGGCATAGCTATGGGCACATTGTGCCCTCGCCCACCCCAATTTTGATAAAATTCTTTACTTTTATTTGAAAATTTTTTATCGAAAATTTATGAATACTTATATGGATGATTATTTTCCAGCCCACCTCAATTTCCTCTTCTGATTATGCCACTAGCTACATACAACTATGAGATAGAACATAGCAACAACGTGCTAGCTGACATTTTTCTGCCAATAAGTTGACGTCTTTCTAACAAAATCATTTGTTTCTCTTTCTTCTTCACCTTCTTCATCATCATCATCTTCTTTCATTTTTTAATTTGTGGGTATATGGTTCTTTTGCTAGTAAAGATGACATTTTTCTCCCAAAAAGCTAAGGTGACTGATAGATTATATCGACCCGGACCCCATAGCCCATGTACTCATAAGATTAATACAAGGACAGCTGGCACCCACGTGGTCTTTCATAGGCCTGGACCTCCTTCGTCCAGGAAGAACCGGCTCACAGAATGCTGCCCAGAAGCCCAGGAGCAGAAGTTTGGTACGGTCCTCTGTTGGCCAAGCCCTCCATCGACCTGGCACTTTTACGGCCAACGAGACTCCAGCAAACTAGATTTTATACTTAGCTCTAGAAATCATGTACTCAGCCCATTTGAGGCCTTATTTTGTACCGGGTCTCCCAGGCCCAACTTATGGGAGCCCAAACTCACATTTCCCCTATAAATAGCTCCCTAAGGTAGTTATAAGGGATTGAGAAATATTAATTACTCACTTTCTCTCTCTAACTCTCACTTCTCTCCAGATCTATACTCTATCAATGACGTCTTTTGAAAGAAAGAAAATTCTTAACTCGCATTTTTTGTTAGTCTATATACCATACAATGCCGATCAAGTGACAATATTGTTTGATGAAGTTAATTTGTCTTGAAGATGCCAATATGACTTGAAGATGGTAATATTACTTGATGATGTAACGTCATTGGATAATAATAGGAACAAGGTGACAACATATATTGCCATTATAGTTTCACGATAGCAATTGAGGTTATATATAATGTACTCCTGTTTTAAGAGTAATTAACATACTCCGTATTTTGTATTTAGGCAGTCCGTATACCATGCAACCAGTGCATGGTGAGCACCATACTCCCATGGTTATATAAAATGTAACTCGTGTGATTCCACATGTAATTTCAAGTTAATCAATATGTAAATTACACTCATTCACATGTGACTCGTTGAAATGTAAACTGTTTTAATTGAAATGTAACTTGGAAACAAATTTAACTAAAATGTAAATGATGTTAACTTGTCATATACAAAATGTAAATCGCGTATATTAAAATGTAACTTCAGGCAAGATGAGATGTAACTCTCGTTAATTGAAATGTAAATTATTGTGATAGGTCAAAATATAAATTACATTAATTGAAGAGTAAGTTGCATCAAACAAAATTTGACTCAAGATATATTGAAATGTAAATCAAGTTAAAGCAAATGTAATTAACACCAATCAAAATGGGTCTGGGACCAATCATCGGTTCATGTAAGTTGTAAGTAACTAAGGGACAAAGCTACTGCCGGTGAGACTACAAGCACTGCCGGACATGGACAAAGCTACTCCCTCATCTATTCATAGGTCTGCTACGAGGGGGACCCCTCATTCAGAGATGGTATTCAAACTAGTCAAACATCTGATGCCATCTACGCTCACAAGGAATCAAACGGACATCAGATCTGGATCTCGCGGCCGACGGGAATAATGAAGATGCCTGCGAGCTCCGCCTGCGACGATTTAGGATCCCCAAGATGATGCAGACTTGTATCTAGTTACCTTGATCCTCCTTGGAGATCTGGCTCCTTAGCAGGATGACACCGGAGGGCGTTCCCTTAGTTGCGGAGGTTTTGTAATTTTTAACAACAAACGACGGCGTTTTGGGACCGGGCACACCATCCTCATGGTGTGCCGGTCTTAGGATATAATTTGGGGTATTTAGGTGAACGATCGCGGTTTATACTTAAACTACTATACTATGTCGAAGTTAATTTTCAAAAGGCGATTACTTTTACACATGCATAAAAATTGAGTAAAAAATAATAAAATTCGAATGTCATAATGTCACCACCAGTTTGATATGTCACTAGCAGTTTTAATTTTCTAATGACATTGTTAGTTTATAATGTCACTAGCAGTTTTAATTTTCTAATGACATTATTGTTAGTTTAAAATGTCACTGTCCATTAGTCCCACTAGGGCTGCAAAGGAATAACCCGAACCCGCATAATCCGTCCGGCCTGATCCTACCCGTCCATTTTTAAAAATATACATTCGTTAAATATGTACGAACTCGCACCTAATGGGTAGGGTTGTAAAATTAAAATCTCAAACTCGATAGAATTGACTTGCCCGAAAGTTCATTTTGCTATTATTATTGTACAATATGTTGTTGAATAATTTCTCTGTAAGACCGATATGCTCTAACTTTGACTTTACGATATAGGAATAGTAAAATTTTACCATTTTGACTAGGTGATTGTTACTCCTTTCGCCCCACTAAGATTGTTCATTTTTCCTTTTATGTCTGTCCGACTAAGATTGTTCCATACTAAATTTGATAAAGTTTGTGTGGTTCTAAATCATTTTAACTTTACTCTTACTTTATCAATTCAACATCAACCATATAACCAAATTTTTCTTAATAATTGTGTCATTTTTTCATGTCTCAATGTTAGTAAAACGAATGTAGTGTATATATATGTTTGCATCTAAATGAACTTTCTTTACACAAGGATGTTTTAATACTCCCTACTCTGTATTACCGAAAGTTTACAAAAATTATATTTTATACCACGGGTTAGTTAATAGACAACCCAAATAAATTGGATAGACCTAAAACTATAGTAAAAACAGACCCACCCCACCCCATATGCAGCCCGGAGTATCAAAAATTTAGGATGACTTTTCCGCCGACTAGCGAGTTTCCAAAGGCATCTGTCGACAGTTGTTTATGGGGGCAGGCGTGGACATGGGTGGGGCATGGGAGGATTAGTGGGTACTTGGGAAAGAATTAGAATTAAAAGAAGTGTATATTAATTAAATAAACATTAATCAATTTTTTGGATAAATGAAAATTAATCATATTTCTGTATTCCAAACGTGTAGAGGTAATATTTTTACCATTTTTTCAAAACAATTACCGTGTAATCCTGAAAATTCCTCGTGTTAAAACTTAAATTGCTAAATGCTAATAACACCCATCTTCAATTCTCACCAAGATTATGCAGTTGTATTGAAAGTCGAAACCTTGGTGGCGCATGGCTGTATGTTATACCCATCGAAATTTCAAGGATGGCGCTGGGAAAAGTCAATCTTTGAATATTCTAGATTTCATATGGACTAGGAACGTTTTTCTTTTTCGATGAAAATATGATGAAAAACACGTAAGAAAGATTTCTAACAAATTGTCAAAAATTGTAAGAAAACCTGTATGGAAACTATTGGAAAGTATGTGTGAGATTCGACTTTTTGTAGTAAACTACGTCCAATGATTAGCAATAAAAGGGTGAATGTGGATGTTGATTTTTTTTGAACGAATTTTAAAAGTTGATGTTAAAAATTAATCAATAATGCAACATCATTCAAACTTTTCTTAAGTACTAGTTGTACTATTAGTGTATTGATTGCATAAAAAATTTATTATTCAGGACTCGCAATTTTCAACCGGAAGAATGATAATTTTATTAATTTTCAAATTCATAAATATGAAAATTAAGGTTTTTTTTTTCAAAAATATTGTCAAAATAAAACTTATTAACAAAAATGTAACCAATAGTTACTACAATGTAGTGTCATGATAACTTAAGTTCAAAAGTTGTACATAAGTTACCATGATTCCAAAACTACTCTAATCACTAGTAACATTTTTGTAAACACTTTTATTTTAGTCATAAATATGTAATTATTTTTATAATAATACTCAAATATTTCGTAGTAAAGTATCCGTTTTGAATTTCTTACTTTATTTTTGGTGATATAGTTAACTCTTACCTAATAATGATATTAACAATCAAAATTATCATATTTAATTTAGAGAAACATTATGAATATCACTGCGCGAAAAGAATATGGATGTGACAAAAGTTGAGAACTTATGGCTATACGAGTTAAACATAGACTAAGATCGGTCACAAGTAGAACTAAGTAATATAATTGTATATAAGAAGTATATGTTTTGTTTCCAAAACAAAGCAATTAATTTAGTTCTAATAGAAGAATAAAACTGTTAATTTTTTTCGTTTTGTGAAGAATTAAACTCAGGAATTCAAGATGAAGAAGAACAGCTTGTTGATTCAGAGCAGATTTTGCGGAAGAAGAAAAGAGAGTTCAATCGAATGAAATCAGATACACTATTGTTATGAGTCTAATCTAATGTATATACTAAATACAAACGGGCCAGTCTAAAGTGTATAAGATAGAAATAGGCCCAACAAATAAGAGAAAGCCCAAGACACTAAAAATATCTAAAGTCCAGTGTTTCAGTCTTGATACGCCCCCTCAAGAGGAGCATGAATGTCCATCATGTTCATCTTGACTGCAAATTGTGTATACAGTGGATTTCCCAGTGGCTTGGTATAGATATCTGCAAGTTGAAAATCATTCTTAATATGTGTTAAAGTAATTAATCCGGAATTAATTTTTTCTCTAATTAGGTGACAATCTAATTCAATATGTTTGGTTCTTTGATGTTGTATGGGATTATGAGCAAGATGATATGTGGATTTATTGTCAGTATATATAACTATTGGCAAAGAAAATTGAATATGTAAATCTTGAAGAATATAATATAACCACTGGGCTTCACAAACTGCATTTGCAGCTGCTCTTTTTTTTTTTTTTTTTTTTTTTTTTCATCCTGGTGTGAGACCAGAACCCGAAGGTTTTGGTGTGGGGGCCAGGCAACACCCCAACTATTTATTATATAGAAACGAGAGATACAAGAGTAGGAGGATTAGACCGAAGCCTACCCGGGAAACAAAGTGAAAAAATTACAATACATATGGAAAGCTTACCGCATCAAACTTCAGAATGCCTACAAATTTGTTAAAATGATGAGTGGTGGTTTTAATAGATAAGCTATGAATAGCTAAGAATTCCGCTGCTCTATTGACTATTGGCTTGGTGTGTGAAATGGTCCAACTGTTGATTTTGAGTTTCTTTCTTATGCTTTGGATCTTCGGCCAATGCTTCCAATTATGAGTTGAGAGCCCCATGATCCCTTCATAGACCTCTTTGTCATCTATCTCAAAAATAAGATTTGTGGATATTGTATTATTTAGGAGGGTGATAACATAATCGAGACCCTCATAAAGAGCATCACTTCCTTGTTGCTGTGACAGATTTGTGGCATGACCAATATATCCCCCTTCATTATTTCGTAGAATGGCGGCAGATCTTGTGAGGGTGGGTGTAATCTGGCGACTGGCAACATTGACCTTGTAGGTATTTGTTGGGGGTTTGGTCCAATAGGCTACTGAGGTCTTATAGTCTTTTTTATGGGAGTGGGTAGTATGTATATTGAAAGGTGCTGTCGGAGTTTTGGCTATGAACGGGTTGGCAACCGACATGGTAAAGATGTCGTGCTTAATAGTATTTATAGCCTCAGCCACATGACCCATTTTGTTATCAAAAATGAATTTGTTACGACTTTTCCAAAGATGCCAAGTTATGATATTTGGAAGAACATAGTTAAAATCCTTTACGTGCCCAGTGCAGTCTAAGTACCAGCTAGTAATGTAATTA